TAACCACAAGGTTCTTCTACAATATTTCCTTCACTGCACAACCCAATTCTTACTTATTTCAGCTCAACAATCTTCCCACAATTCTTATTGGTACATGCATGTATAAATAATAATCTCATACCCATGAATCATACTCCTAATCAACCATTTTCTACCCAAATTCGAAATTGAAAACTAGGGTATGGAACCTTACCTCTTAGATGAAGAACTTATGGGTTTTCCTTGTTAATCTTCCAAGATTTGAGCCTTGATGAATAATTAGCCTAGGGTTTTCCTCTCTTTCTAAAACACTCTCCTTTCTCTCTAAAACATCAGATTTTTGCTTAAAAACCCAAAACATGTATTTAACGAAGTAGGGTCGGATTTTTAAAAACCCAAAAATGGAGCTCCGGAACAGGTTCTGCGGTCGCATATGCAACCGCATAATGGATATGCGGACCGCATATTGGTCGCATAATTACAGACCAAAACGATCAAAAAGCTGTCCATGTATGCGATCACTATGCGGTCCGCATAACTATTATGTGATCGCATAATGTACCGCATAACAGTTATGCGGTTGCATAGCCGACCGCATAATTGCCCCCAGACTGGCCCTTCTCCTGCTCACTTATGCGGCTATTATGCGGTCGCATAATGGACCGCATAAACACTCTTTTCCGCCAAAAATTTTCCTTTACTTTTCGGTGCATTGTTCAACCCAAAAAGCCTTTATACCATCCTCAAACACGTAAGCCTATTACGGCACCACGAAACCTTGAATTCACTTGCGAAATTTACTGGGCTTTACACTGAAATACTTCAAAATTTTCTGGGGTGTTACAGGCGCGCTGATTAATGTGTTCACGATCCCTTTGTCGCGTTCGCGGTGAAGGTATTTGGTATGAGGCACTTTTGTGCTTCGTGAACGCGAGGCTTCTTCCACGTTCACGAAGGGTTCACGTGGACAACATTTTAAAGTACTCTATTTCAAATGTTTTTGGTAATTTTATCACATTTTGGGTTGGGGAGCTTGGATTTGGGCAATTTTGGAGAGAATATTTGCCATATAGATTGAGGTAACTATTTTTTACTCGATTTTGATTATTTTACATGATTCCATCTTTGATTTTGACATTTAATTTGTTGAATCTAGAATAGAAATTGGGGGGTTTCTATGAAAACCTTTCTAAAGTGAATAATTGGGTTTTGAATTTCGGTTCGAAGTCAGAATTGTATGAAATTAGTATGGTTGGACTCGTATTCGAATGGGTTGTTAGAATTTGAACATCTCCTTGAATCTTTCCCAAGCTTAAAAAATCATTTCTATCTCAATCTGGCAGAAATTGTGGATTTCTCTTCTGAATTACCCTATTTTTGCAGCTGAGAAGCACTTTTTGAGAAACATTTTAGTCAAATCTTCCCATGTCCTGATCGGCCCCTTGGGTGAGCTACGAAGCCAGTGCTTCGCGTCATCCTTTAGTGAAAATGGGAGTGCCCTTAAGTCGATCGCATCTTTTGATACTCCATTGTACTGGAAGGTGTTCATGATTTCCTCAAAGTCCATCAAGTGAATGTTTGGATCTTCATTCACCTCACCGCTGAAGATACAATTGTTTTGGATGGTTTGAAGCAAGCCTTGCTTCAACTCGAAGTTATTTGCTGCTATGCGTGAAGGTATGACCCTTGATAGTCCCTGATTATAGACTGGTCTAGCATAATCACCTAATAATTCCCCATGCCTAAGTGTTGCATTCTCAAACTGGTCTTAAACCAAGGGTCGGTTTAGATTGAATCTTCGACCCCCATTATCTTTGATAGTCTCCTCAGTAGATCTAAGGGCTACCTCAGCTGCTATCCATGAAACTTCTTCTCTATGTTGTGCTACCTCTCTTGCTGCTAAGCCTACTCCATCAATGTTTTTGTTTTCCATTTTATATTGAGTCGAAATATGACCTAAGAAACTTTATGTTAATTCTCTTTCTTTTCTCAATTGTCGCAAGTGTTTTTCTAACTCATGTTTGTAGGGTATCACTTCTTTTGAAAAAGATCGATTCATACACCAGAGAAGTTAAACTTGTATCCTGCACATAAGTGAGAAAACATGAATACAATCAAATAAAATTGGTTCCTGAATTAGTACTGAACACTATTTTAAACACTTGATTGTCAATCCCCAGCAACGGCGCCAAAATTTGACGAGCGCAAAACACAACACAGAATTATTGCTCGCTAGTCAAATATATTATAGTTAATTATCGTCTCCATAGGGATTGAATTTAAACAATGTTCGAATAATCTTCAGTAGATTACTATCCTTTAAAATTAACACTTGATTTAATGATTATCAACTACAATTAACTACTAAAAATTAAGCAATTAACAATCAATCAAAAAGGATAGCAGATGAGCAACAAAGAAATATCAATGAGAGAAATAAGGGTAATTGACTAGACAGGTGCAAGATAGTTGACTCAGGATCCAATTCTTGAGTTAGTTCACTCTATAATATTGTTTATTCTTACGAATTCAACAAATAATTAGATTACACTTGAAGTTAATGTTCTTCTTTCGATTAAATGTTAGCTTCAGTAATTAATCCAATTGAAGCACGGTAAACAATTGCAATGAATAAAATGATGGTTATGATCTAAAGGGTAACTTCTCACGAATATTTCCCTATTTTCTAGTTCGATTAACAATTCAAGAGGCTTTTTCGATTACCTATTTGAATCACTAATTTAAACTAGAGCATAAGATGTAAAGAAATTCAATATTAAGCTTCTCTATCAATTAAGCAAAATAAGAAATAACTTCACAATACGAATTAAACTCCATTAATTAATTCCAACAATTATAAAGAATCGAATTCCTAATCAAGTTATCAAAATACTGTATCTGTCAACACCCTAATGGAAATTACTCCATAGCAATGGAAAAAGTCATCTGAATAAGGTTTAAAAACATAGAAAACATCAATGCTAATGATTCGATACAAACTCCCGTATTGCATCGATCGTTGGTTGAAATCTTGATGAATTCTTGTGTCTTCTTGCCTTAATTGCTTCTCAAATATTTTACAACAACAACTAACCCAGTTTGATCCCAACAGGTGGGGTCTGGGGAGGGTAGTCTGTACGCAGACCTTACCCCTACATAATGCAGGTAGAGAGGCTGTTTCTGATAGACCCTCGGCTCAGGAAGGGCAAGAAGAAGAATAGGAAAGCAATGAAGGAAGAAAGATGGAAGAGAAAAGAAAAAGGGAGAGATAAAGGATAAGTAGTACTCAATAATAGCAACAGCAAAATACAATACCTGAGGCGAACAAAACCAGATAACGTAATAAAAATATAAGAATATGAAGAGACATGCATGCTACTAAGACTATCGGTGAACAACTATAAACTACCCACTAACCTTCTACCTTAATCCTCGACCTCCACACCTTCGACCTCCTGCCTAATCACCTCTCCCCAGTACTTCTTAGGCCTACCTCTACCTCTTCTCAAACTCTCCATGGCCAACCTCTCACACCTCCTGACAGAAGCATCAATGCTTCTTCTCTTAGCATGTCCGAACCATCTCAGCCTCGACTCCTGCATCTTTTCCTCCACGGAGGCTACTCCCACTCTGTCCCGGATAGCTTCATTCTTAATCCTATCTCTCCTGGTACACCCACACATCTATCTCAACATCCTCATCTCTGCTACTCTTATCTTCTACACGTGGGAGTTCTTGATTGGCCAACACTCGGCTCCATACAGCATAGCTGGTCGAACCACCACTCAATAAAACTTACCCTTAAGTTTTAGCGGTACATTCTAGTAACACAAAACACCGGAAGCGAGCCTCCACTTCATCCATCCCGCTCTGATGCGATGCACGACATCTTCGTCAATATCCCCGTTACCCTGGATAATAGACCCGAGATACTTAAAACTTGCTCTCTTGGGGATAACTTGAGCATCAAGCTTAACCTCTACGTCTGCATCATGGGTCCCATCACTGAATTTGCACTCCAAGTATTCTGTCTTGGTTCTACTCAGTTTGAAACCTTTAGACTCCAAGGTCTTTCTCCAAACCTCCAACCTCGCGTTAATTCCGCTACGCGTCTCGTCAATCAACACTATATCATCGACAAATAGCATGCACCAAGGCACCTCCCCTTGGATGTGACGCAACAGTACATCCATCGCCAAGGCAAACAAAAATGGGCTAAGAGTCGATCCCTGGTGCTACCCCATCACCATAGGGAAATGCTCCGAGTCACCACCCACAGTCCTTACCCGAGTCTTAGCATCACCATACATATCCTTAATCACCCTAATGTATGCTACTAAAATACCACTAACCTCCAAACACCTCCACAAGACCTCCCTCGAAACTTTATCGTATGCTTTCTCAAGGTCAATAAACACCATATGCAAATCCTTCTTCATTTCCCTGTACGGCTCCACTAATATCCTTACCAGATGAATCGCTTCCGTAGTCGAACTCCCCGCCATGAGTCCAAACTGATTCTCGAAAATAGACACGTACCTCCTCACCCTGACCTCCACCACCCTCTCCCAAACCTTCATAGTGTGACTCAACAACTTGATACCTCTATAATTGTTGCAATTTTGAATATCACCCTTGTTCTTGCAAAGAGGAAGCATCGTACTCCACCTACATTCTTCGGGCATCTTCTTTGTCTTAAAAATAACATTAAACAACTTAGTGAGCCACTCCAAACCTGCCCGCCCCGCGCTCTTCCAGAATTCCACCGGGATTTCGTCTGGCCCCGTCGCTCTGCCCCTGCACATCTTACGCATCACCCCTTCCACCTCCTCTACCGTAATCCACCTACAATACCCAAAATACCGCCGACTCTCGAAGTGCTCCAACTCATCCAGCACAATGCGTCTATCCCCCTCCTCATTCAACAGTTTATGGAAGTATGTTTGCCATCTTCTCCTAATGAGTGCCTCATCAATCAACACTTTGCCATCCTCGTCCTTCATACACTTGACTTGGTCTAACTAGCGGGCTTTCCTATCCCTCACCTTGGCCAACTGGTACAACCTCTTGTCCCCACCTTTGCCCTCAAGCTCCTCGTACAAATGAGCAAACACCGCGTTCTTTGCTTTTCTGTAACACTCCGGATAAGTCCTTTTTTCCTCCTCATTTGTACTCTCTACTAGCTTCAAATAAGCAGCTTTCTTAGCTTCCACTTTACCTTGAATCTCTCCATTCCACCACCAGTCCCATATATGACCCCCAGGAGAGCCCTTTGTGACCCCTAAGACCTCTCTAGCAGCTACCCTAATGCAATCCACAGTCGTGAACCACATACTAGACGTATCCCCCCTACTCATCCAGGCCCTCATAGCCAACAATTTCTCCCCTAACTCCTAAGCTTTGCCCTTCGTCATGTTACCTCACTTGATCTTAGGTTGCCTACACCCCGCCCTCTTCCTCCTACTCCTCTTTATCTCCAGGTCCAAAACTAGCAGCCTATGTAGAGTCGTGGGGTGCTCACTTGGGATGACCTTACAGTCAGTGCAAAGACTTTTATCGCATTTCCTGCAGAGAATATAATCAATCTGAGTCTTGCCTATTGAATTCCGGAAAGTGACCAGGTGCTCTTCCCTCTTCGGAAAACTCGAGTTAGTTATAACCAAATCACAAGCTCTAGAAAAATCCAACAGTGAATTACCTCCCTCATTCCTATCCACAAAACCGTACCCGCCATGCACATCATCATAACCCCTAGCACTAGCCCCAATATGACCATTGAAATCTCTGCCAATGAACAACTTCTCTGTGTGCGGGATACTATGCACCATCTCGTCCAAATCCTCCCAGAATTGCATCTTGACCTCATGGTCCAAACCTACCTGAGGAGTGTATGCACTAGTAACGTTTACAGAAAACCCACCAACTACCAGCTTAATACTCATCAACCTATCATTTACCCTCTTAACCTCAACCACGAGCTCCCTGAGGTCCTATCTACTAAAATACCTACCCCATTCTTACCCCCAGCGCTCCCTGAGTACCATAGTTTAAACCCGTCTACATCTCGTGCCCTAGTACCCTTCCATCTAGTNCTAAGCTACGAACCCGAGAGCTAAAAATAACTCAAAGGAGTGACTACCACGTCTACGAAACTACCCCTATGCAAACACAAAATTAAAATGAATATATGAAACCTTAGGCTTAAAACACTAGTAGAAAAGATAGAAAAAGCAATTAATCCAATCAAAATTACCGCCAAGGCAATAGTAAATAGATGTGCGCAAATACAATTCAAGAAAGATGGAACCTGGATCACAATCAGGGATGTCCGGACGCACTTCCAAATCCGTTGAATACTGCTGCTCCCGAACCCGTGAGTAGGAAAGTTTCAGCAATTTTTCAATTTCACCGGAATTTCACCGCAAATAAAAAAGAGTACTGTCAAAGTGGAGATGTCCGAATCTTCTTGATGGAACATGAAATAGAAAGCCACTGGTAATTGCACAGCAGAAAAAGCGATTCTCACAACACAAAGAAAAAATCTATCCTCAATCAATGGAAAGCGAAATTGTGACTCGAATCTCCAGGATATAGTTCGAGTTGGTGGCTGAAGAGTTTCTTTTATTTATCAAACTTTATCCAAATCTTCTTCCAAGAAAAGAAGAAATCTTCCAAGTACACTAGGTCAAAATTCCAGGTACGACAAACAAGAAGAAGATCAAGATTATAAATCCTCTTCAAAATCCGAGTTCTCAAAGGAAGAATCCCGTCTTGAAAAACAAATTATCCGTAATTATAATTTCTTTAGCAAGATCCAAATTTGTTGTTAAGTGAACACAATAATCCCTGTACTGTATAGAATAAGGTGGATGTTGCCGGATAAAGAGAGTCGCCGAGGAGTTCGCCGGGGAAAGAGATGGAAGAGACAACGAGTAACTTGATTAAACCAAGATAATTAAACACATGCTGATGAAAAACCTTTCAGTAGAATACTTTTGCTACAATCACACCCTTTCCAAATTAAAATAAATCAATACCTTTTGCAATTGCTGGAAAACAAAAAGGCTTCTCAAATCTTTTGTAGGTCAAAAATCCTCTAAATATCGTGTTTTTGATGTATTTATACCATGTAGGAACGGGCTCGGACGAAACTACTCTTTCCTAGACGAAATAGGAAATAAATCTAAGTAATTTGTACAGACGCGTCGTGCCATGCGGCATGCTTGTGAGGATATTCAGAGAGCTCAATGTGACAGGTAGCCACTTTTACATAGCCGCGCCGCACCATGCGGTTCCCCGTGCGGCGCGACAGTGTTGTTTTCTCAGAGTAAATCGTTTCTTCCACTTCTTAAAGCTCCAACTTGTTCGATTTAGCTCCAAATTGACTTTTTAACTCGGAATCACTTCCTGCAAGGCATAATACTCACTATCATTTAAGCTCAAACACACGTAAAATGCAATAGTTAGAGTGCAAACTACGGCTAAAACATGGGTTTCTAGCCTACCATCACCATGCCATAGTTGACATCATCGAGAACTCTTCGCAACCCAATTTCTCATAACCAAAACATTAGAACTAAATCCTTCTAAATCAACCAAGTCACGTAGACTACTAAGAGCTAGAGTACCTCAGTATGAAAATGCATGCACTGAAGGACCCTCTAATGAATATGAAACCGTTCCTCTCACCTTATGATACCGCAACATAGAATCACCAATAATTATATAGAATACTGCAAGTCTCAGCACCATCCAATGCAAGCCCCAAGTCCTAACCATACGCAAACCCGAAAATACTCAAATACCACATATGAGTCTGGAACCCATTGGAACCTTCTCGAAAGTCATTCACCTTGCTCTAAAGCATCCTTGATGTGACCTTTTCTCAAATCATAGCTGATCTGCAAGCACATCCTACTCCAAGAACTAATATAATGTGTGACCATGCAATCCGATCGTTAATGGAAAACTACCCTACTTGGCTCGAAGCCATAGAACACATCATCTATAACACATAACACCCTTCCTTCGTAGCTGCCCCAGTCTCGCACTGTTAATCAGTTGAATACTTCATAAACGCATTTGAATCTAGTTTAAAACACTCCAAGGATTCTACCAAGTGCATACTCACCCTGGCAACAGTCAAGCCAACCTCCTCAAGCCCCCGAAATTGTAGTATATGCATTCCACTGAACAAAAGCCCCATATGAATCACACAACCTCAAATCCCACCGGCTAGCCTCAAATCAACATCTCCCCATGACCCTACCACAGTCACAACAACTAAGTAACCAATTAATCTTCTCAAGCCCGTACTCATCACCCAGATATAAGAATCCGCTTCATCCCATAGATGAACAACTAAAAGTTCTACCCACACATCCGCATCTAAGTCTGGAAAACACATCGACACAACAATTAAGCATCCACAAAACCCATAGTCCACCCATAGCGTTACAATCCATCGGTGTATATCTGATACCCAATACGCAACATCACGTATGAGCGAATGGACGGATATCAAAGGTATAAGCTTCAAGCTGAAACAACATCACATGATAAGGAATGAAAGATGGGAAGTTTCCTAGATGCCATTTAGCCTCTTAAAGATAAGTATGGACATCATCATACCGATATGCAAGACTCTACTAGACACTTGCTCATGACTCGTACAACCTATGAACCTAAAGCTCTGATACCAACTTGTCACGACTCAAAATCCCACCAATGTCGTGATGGAACCTAACTTGCCCACTAGGTTAGACAAAAAGTGCAAGTTACTATTAAACATAGAAATCATCAATATGTAAATAAAATTGCAATGGGATTTAACACAACTATCCCGAGGACTAGTAGTACAAGTCACGGGCCACTATGATGTGGATATACAAAGCTGGTGAAATGATTTATATACAACATCTGTTTGAAAATTACATAAATAGAATTAAAATCCTAAGCTGCGAGGAACAACAAGTAGCATGAAATCATCACGTGGGTATGCCTCAATGCAAAGTTCCCTCTTCACAACTACTCAGCTCCAGAATCTGCACGCAAGGTGCAGAAGTGTAGTATGAGTACAACCGACCCCATGTACTCAGTAAATATCTAAACTAACCTCAGATAAGTAGAGATGAGGTTTTTAAGTCAAAATATACTCACTTGTCAAATAACATGTGCATTATATGAAACTCGCAACAAGTTGTATAACAGAAATACAATAACTAGAATCTCAACGGAACAAGTGATAACAATTCAATATAAGTAAAATTCCAACTTCAATAACAAGTCATCAAATAGAATCGAACACATATGGCATCTCGTGCCCACATTTTTCATTTACCTTCGCATGGCAAAGACCTTGTGCAACAACACACGTCACACCCACACGACAAAGACCTCGTGCCACAATTAATTCGAGTCCATATCAAATTCCCAAATAATACGTTCAAGAGGACTTTTCAAGAGTAAATTATTGTAATACATAGTGACAATTTCCTCACCTCATCGATCTGATATGCTAGCAACAACGCAAAGAATATGAGATAACAACTCCACGTAGATAAATCCATCTTGCCAACCAAATCATCAAGTAATAATAGAGGAATAGATTAGCATGTTACAAGCAACGCAAAAAATCATGTAAAAAATGCATGACTCGTCTAAAGAAGTCATAAGCACAACCATAATTCCCCTTTTTTGTACCACCCACAAACTTAATCAATAGAAATCGCCTCCAGACTATCACATAACATCTCCACAATGCGATCCTTATGACGCTGCATGCCCATAATCAATGGAAAGCATCTCTTATGTCACCGCATGCACATAAATATCCACCCTTATGTCTGCGCATGAACATCACAATGAAATGTCTCCCTTATGTCACTGCATGCACATAAACCACCCTTATCTCGCCGCATGTTCATAACAATGAATTGCCTCCCTTATGTCGCCACATATGCATCTACAATCAATCCGCACAACATGTCCACATACAAAATAACAAATTATCATCAAGAGGTTCATTCTCGTAACTCATGAAAAAGTGCACAATGACACGATAACAACAAAAGTGCAGATAAAGTATAATGGTTAAATCAAGTATAGCAACCAAGCCCAAGTAATCGTTCCAAGGATCACACATGCATCATACAATGTACACATCTCAATCAAGGGATATTATAAGAATAAGTCCGGATGTGTATTCATAGCCTACGTATGTCTATCCCCAAGGCAATTATAGCATAAGTCTCAAGATTTGTTCATCATGTTCAAAATAAGGTACCGATAGCCTCAACATTCCTCTAGCATGATTTCTAGTACTCAAAAAGCCGATTAATTTAATAACACATTGAATCAAGTAAAACACACAACTAAATAAGGCATAAAGTAAGATAGAATCTACCCCGAGCATGAAAACTCATGGCACATGCATATACGCTCGTCACCTCATACATACATCACCCCGCATGTAGCAAACAACATCAAATGGTAGAAAAACTTCCCTCAACCAAAGCTAGGGAAATCAGTTACCTCAAACAAGCCAAATTGATAATCTAATGGTGCCATCCCGCACGAATCGACCTCTGAACGACTTGAAACTAGCCAAAAGCAACTCAAAAACATCAAATAGTGCCATAGGAATCGAACCCAAACGATAAAGGTCGAATATTTAATCAAATATTCAAATTCAACCAAAAGGTCAACCCGGGCCCGCATCCTGGAACCCGACAAAACCCACAAATTCCGACAACCCATTCGGATATAAGTCCATCCATACTCGTTTCATCCAAATCTGACTCTGAATCGGTGTTCCAAACCCAATTATTTACTTTAGAGACATTTTTGATAAAAACCTCAAATTTCTCTTTTAGATTTATCAATCAAAAGAAAAAATCAAAGATGGAATCATGTAAAATAATCAAATCCGATTCAAAAATAC